CAGTGGGGGATTTGAAAATAACATGGCAGCTCACAAACACATCAGACTTCCATGATTTCAAACCAAAAATAAGATTAAAAGATGTGTGTCTGCTTGCAATAATATGCCACATTCAAAGTGATTCAAGATCAATTCAACAGCACATCACTTTAGCAAGCCACATATTTTCTTTTGTTATTCATGGACAATTCCAATGCAAGATTGTTAAATATTATGTGTATCATGGGTAAATAAAACCAAATCAATGACTCAAACAAACATTGATCAGTCTAACAACAATGTTAGATTATGCATGTTTGAAAGTGAGGGTTGCAAAAGTATTCCTTCCCCCTTTAGTTATGGGTTAGGGTTAGAGGACTGATGTTAAATCTGCCGACGATTAGATATTGATCACTAAGTAGTGGTGTAAAACATTAAAGCATTGTAAGGTATGGAGATTACATAACATTTTGAAGCAACTGTGGTTAAAGTTAAACTCATCATTCTAACAATGCACAAGGCTCCAGGCATTGTGGCAAATGCTGATAGGAGGTCTCCGTTCCTCCATGCTGTATAATATCACTTTCAGTCTGTGACACTCTGTTTGTGCTCGTCTACCATTGACAATAAAAAGTGTCTTCTGTCTGAAAGACACTGTCCCAGACTTTGTCATTTTCTTCAGTAGGTGGAGGATGCAGGTTTGTCTGAAGAACTAACATCTACAGACAGAGGACCATGCATCTGGATCAGCACACTTGGACAATCTGGGACAGCCCCTGATTCCAATCAGGCCTGCTGTAAGCTGCTGAGAAATGGACACAAATGACAAATAGACAATACCATCGTCCTCTATTGCATGGACATAATTTGGATTTCTGATTTTGGACATAATTTGGACTGAATGGGAATGGTGAATTTGGACACTAAAGCTGAAATATGTGATTGAAAGAGACAACACAGAAGAATGCACAATTCAACACAAGAAATCAACACGGAAAGTGGGAGAGATTTTCAAAGAAATATCTGAGAACCACCATCGACTGATGAAGTTTGGTATATTACTGAAGATTGTTGACAAGTTTTATGAAAGATTGTCATGTTTTTCATGGGTTTTTGAAGTATTGAGTTCTAAGTTGTGTCAAGTATCCTGAAGTATACAGAGTTTCTGAAGTATTTTGAGCTTTTTGAAGTATTGAGTTATGGGTTTTTGTGTCACACGAGAATGTGTGACCACAGGGGGGACTTTGGAGATTTCATAACAGCAACTGTGGTAAAACTTAATATTCTAACAATGCACAAGGCAGTACTTTTCCACAACATGTTTTGGTGGTGTCTCAAGGCTAAGCGACTGGCATTGTGGAAAATGCTGATTTGAGGTCTTCATTCCTCCATGCTGTATAATATCACTTACATTCTGTGACACTTGGTTTGTGCTTGTTCACCATCTTCTGTCTGAAAGACACCATCCCAGATGTTGGTCATGTTCTTCAAAGGCTATACAAATATTTCCCAAGCTTTGGACACCTCAGAGAGGATTGTGTGGTCAATGCTATTTGACCACAGTGAGAGAATTCACAAATTAACATGTAAACGTTTCCAAAATACCGTTAAAATGGAGCACATCTAGACCTATGTAAAACAGGCATACAATATGCATTCAAAAACAAGAAATGGAATGGGGGACAGCAGAGGCCAATTTACAACACATCTCTTCAAAATTCAACTTGGCTCCCCGAGGTGTTTTGCTCTTTGTCACGACGCTGTCGCCTACAGCAACAAGGCTGTAAACCAAACCAGGATTGATGTTTAATGAGGATGACTCTCACTTGCTCCTTATCACGGGCCTGTCATCCACTACTGACATGTTTAATACCAAATGTCACTCAAGGCAACAGCAACAAAACCAGGGGGACTATCAGAGCACCACTTAGTGATTTGTTCCATAAACATGGAAGCATGATATTCCAGGTGCACCATGTGGGCCCCGAGGCCAGGACTGCTGTTTACTGTGATGGAGATGTGACCACAAGATGAGAAGCAATAGCTCTAATGGAATTGTGTAGACTTTAAGAGAAATGTAGACTAGAGTTCTAAAAAAGAGAATGAGCGAAACAAAAACACAAGGGTGGAGCATAGAATATCAGTGACTGAAATCCTTAAATCAACAGCCTAAACATTTGTAAAGGAGGTTTTTGTTTTACTTGATTTTACAAATGTGTATTGTTATTTATACCCAATATTTGATATGTGTTTGTTCTGTGACATCCATTTCTTTGTAATAACTTCTTTCTCCAATGTCAATATTTAAATGATGGACGTTTTTCTTGTGAACAGCTATATATGCAGACCATGACATACAGCTTTGTATTTTCTTGGTGAGAGCACAAAGAGAAGATAAAAAGCTGTTGATTCCTTTCGGAACGCGTTTGTGAAATCCAAGCTTTTCCTTTTGCAGTTCCTTCCATCAACGTCAAGCCATTGTTAACATTTTGCTTGAGAGACACGGTAGAAAAAGATTTAATCCCACCTTATCTGATACGTTTGTGTTCAACAGGTGGGGGCTGGTCAAAGTGGCCGTGGCTAACAGCACAGCTCAATGTGAGTGAGTGTTATGGGATTGTGGAAGCACCGGAGAACTGCCAGTGACTCCGGGGACACGAGATCAAACGCATTGTGAAGCGAGGTGTGGGTCAAAGAGATGAGCCTGGCTTCACACATGTTTCGGTTTGTGGTCATAAGAGAAAAACTGTCATTCATTGTAAAATATCCAGTAAAGACAAAAATAAAAATCACTTTCTGCTTGAAAAATGCATGGTTCACAAAAAGCTGTTTTCTCCAAATCTTGGTCAGGAAACAGCATTTTGTGTGAAGTTTCACCATGTCTCCTCTCAATATGCTAAAAAACTAAGGGTTATAAACTTTTTTTTTTAAAGAAGCATGGGATAGAGCTTTCATTTGATTGGTTTCCATTCTTTGTGTCAACCAGATCACATCTTCTATGCGGTTCAGGAAAAACACTAAAAATGTCAAATCTCTGGCGTATGAGGATGCTGCTTTTAAATGGCTGGACATTGAATAATTAAGCAGGCCCTGAACTTAACTCATTGACTGCCAGCCCGTTTTTGAGGATTTCACTGACTTTCAAGACCCGAGAAAATTGTGTGCTATGACTATGTTGAAATATGAAACCAGATTCTGGAATAACCGCTGAACTGTCTGCTTTATCAGCAAAAAATAAGTTTTGTTTTTAGCTAGTTTTGTTCTCCTGTAATCCCCAGGCCAATAGAGGGAGGTTTGACAGAAATCAAAGATCTTTAGTCAAATACGCAATGGCAGTCGATGAGTTAAGCTTTGGGCTAGATGGCTGGATACATTTTACTTTCGCCAACGTCAAAAGTTGCTTGTCAAATATGTATCAATACATTAGTTGACAGAAGTTTTGGCAATAAAGTGGCCATAAATAATTTGGAAATAAATATATAAAAAAATACCCTCTCAGCTTCAAAACGTTTAAATAATGACTCACCAGGGCTATTACATTTGCAAAATAAAAAAAAAGACGCCCCATGTTGGGGTGTGTTATGTTTGTTGTCCATAACATTTTACTTTTGTCTTTATCGAGGGCGACGTAGCTCAGGTGGTGAGCAACAGGCTCACCATCCATCGCGAGGACCTACTTCATGACTCGATGTCTGTTTGATGCTGTTGTGTCCCTTGGAGCAAGACACTTAACCCCACTTTGCCCAACAGCCACTGAAGATCTCAGCTCTGTGGACTACCAAACTGCAGGAGGATCAGTGAGGGGCTGGTGCTTCTGTGAACTGGGTGCAGCTTCTGCTGCCACTCCCCAGACAGAATGGTTTAAGAGGAAGAAATGGACGTATGGTTGGTTTTACTTTTGTGCCCAACCAACCTGCATTGTTAATGCAAGCGAAAACTAAGGGGGGATACCAAGCTTTAATGTTGTGAGTTTTGGTTGCGATTCGGGAGGACATACGGGGAGACCCGCACTTGCCAACAAACTGGGGATGGTTATCTCCGACGTGTCTATGGTCCGCGCTCGTTACACATTAACGGCTGTGATTTCGCTGAGCATTTTATAACGACAGCCGCTTTGAATCGCGGTTGTCGCTTATAAATGCAGCTTGCAGTTGATCCCAGGGTCAGAATGGAGGGTGATCGAATGCCGTTTGAGACAACGTAGTGCATACAGCAGCAAGTGCATGCGGTCACACAGTGGGGAAAAAGTTGTAATATTGCGGTATCTGCAAAACAAAATTTAATCTCTGAGTTTCTTCCTTGATGCATTTCATTGGTCTAGAGAATGTTCCATGAAGAGAATTTACAACTTGATAAGACAGCGCACTTGCCTTTGTTCCCAAATCTTTACTGGCCGGGCAATGGACAACCTTAATGTCGAGCCATGTTAAGACTAGTGAAAACTGTCATTTGCAATAAAGGACATGTTCTAGTAGTAGACAACAAATATAGACGATAAAAACTCTAAATACCTTGTGACACGGAGTCATCTAAAGGCTTCAGGTCGCTTTCGATCCTCACCGCTGTTGCCTCGCGGGGCTTACATAAGTAAACAACATAATATTGGTACATACAGAATAGATTTTACTACAACACAATCAGTGTACTATCTGCAGGTTGGATTACTGATTCAGTCAATATTTGATGTCATCAAGGCTTTGCCTTTGAATTCAGCAACCGTCCCTGCTCCAGAGCCAAAAGCACCTTGATAAATTTTAGCAAGCTGTAAGCGGTACCTTCTGGAAGCCTGTAAAATTGGCGATGCACTCTCACATCATGGCCGAGGGAAAATCGGCTAACTGTTCAAGCTCAGTGTTTGTGATGATTTAGGACTGTTGAACGTGTCTGTTTGCTTCCTTAGTTTTGTGTGAGGTCAGGACTGTGGGTTTCCGCTCCGCACGCCCTGCAAACTCTCATTAGGGCAGTCTGAACCACGGTAACGAGTCATAGCCATTTGGTCTTGCAAAACAGGTAGCCATTTTTCACAGGGACCTCACAATCTCCCGTTTGGAGATGAGAGATCCAATGGGACTCCTGCATTGAGGGCGTCAAAAAGGGTTGGAGACCTTTCTCCCTCTTATTTCCTGTAATTTCGATCTCTTCGAAAGTGCTGGCAAAGCTTTTTTTCAGATCTGAAAGTGCGGTCACCCAGGTCTTCAAGAAATCTTATTATTTGCGGGGACAAATAGGCCGACAGAGGTTCTTTGATACTTCAGCCTGATCTTGCCTATTGAAGAGTACAATTTGTGTCAAAGTAACTTTTGCCAGGTCGTGTCCCAAGTCTGGGCTGATGCACCAGAAGATAACAAGGAGTGTAATTTTCTGCTTTTCATTGTCTAAATAAGAATGAAATAAAAACGTTTGAACCGTCTCTTGTAATGGAAGCATTACAAGGGGCATTCCACTTTAGCCTCTTGGAGTGTTCGCTAAAGATGCCTGCGGATACATTTCATGCCATCTCGCTTCAGATATTTTGGCGGAATGTGCCGGGCACTTTTTGCTTGCAACATTGTTGTTATGACATTCGAACGACTCTCGACTAACATTGATATTTTAGTCAGCATGGGTCAGTGTTTGAGTGCACAACTTGGGCTCTTGAAAGTGTTGGTTGTTTTTTCATGACCAGCTACAATCTTCCAGGACTCCAAACACGCATGAAATTGGCTAGGCAGAACATGGTCTTCAATTGTTTTGATATTAGTATTATTTCCTGGAGAATAAGAGAAGCCTTCCCAACTCCCTCATTTTTTGGCGAATGTATTCATGTTTCCCCCTTGTATGGCCTAAACGGGAAATAGATGTTCCACCAAACTCTAGGATACATTTGTCTCCTTTCAATGCGAAAAAAACTGTCATTCTTGTTATCATGATTGGTGCACACAGTTTTCCAGAAGTCCCTCTTTGATATGGCGAGGGACAGCAAATGCACAAAGGACTGAACACGGGTTTTTCCCCGAGCACTGGGCTTGAACTTACATTGCAATTACAGGTTTCTTGTTCTCTCAAGGAACTGTCCCTGACAATGGATACAGTGCAGGTAAATCCTGTTTGGCATGCGAGATAAGCTGTCCCGGCAACCCGTTTTCATTTATGGGAAAAGTTCCCCCTGTTTCTCGCATTCTAGCATCCTCCTCGCTTTGATGATTAAAAAGACAGAGGCCCGAGCAACCCCCTTTCATTTTTTTGAGCACGCTCCAGTGCCTGGGATTATTATGACACGCCGTCTTGCAGAATAAGCAGTATTGTTTTCTTATTGAACATGCGTGAACCATCCACCCCCCCCCCCCCCCCCCCCTCTCTTTTTTTGCAAACTGCTAGCACGGACAGCGAATCATGGCATGCATCGACTACAGGGACAGAACTGTTTGGAAGTTTTGGCTGGTCCTCTTTTTCTTGTTGATATTTTGCAGATTGTGTCTTACTATGTTGTGGTGGACTTGATTTTCTTTTCTTGGGTTGTTTTTTAGTTGTATTTGATTTTCTTGTGGGAGACCTTCCTCTTGCCGAATTTAGGTTTCCGCCTATAACTTCTGTAGAACTGCTCAAAGGCAAGATTTTTGAATGCAAGGCTGGGCATGTGGTCATTTCTGTATCATCCACTGAAAGAATCTCACTCTCTATTGAATCACAAGAATCACTGCTGTTATCAGTCTCTGGGATATATTCTTCACTTTCGTCTGAAGTAAAGCCACACAATTCTTCTGAATCATACTCAGTTTGGCTCCCCCACTATTGAAAGAAACAAAATATTAGACATATTGTAATTTTCTCAGGCCAACCATGTTTTTTAAACCTGAATGCTTTTGGTCCTTCGTAGCATTGGAGGCATCACATGTTCCTGCTGGGTTCGAGAAGCTGTAAACTCACTACCCTGTATGAGCAAAAAACATAATTCAGTTATTTTAAATTATTACAAATTATTATTATTACAAATATTCATAAATTAAGCATTTACATAATGTTAGTGATGTGTGTAATGGACCTCTCCAGTGTAGTGAAACCAGAATCTACTTTTATACTACAGCTGAGATGTGTGTAATGGACCTCTCCAGTGTAGTGCAACCAGAATGTAGTGCAACCAGAGGTCTGAGGCAGGTTCTCTTGCACTAAATAGTAAAGTTGTTACTTATTTATATAATAGATTTAGTATATATATTTTTTGGAGTTGTGAGACAAATGCTGTATCTAATTATTTATTTGAGTACAGTAAAGACCATTTACTGTAAAGATTTTAAAAGAAAAGAAAAACATATGTATCATTTACAAATTAAAGCACTCAAAAATGTGAAATCAAAGCCTGTAGAAGGTTAGACATGGTCATTTTTTGTAGTGTCTGAGAGTTTTGTGTAGGTTACATGGCTTTAGATAAAAGCTATTGTATCGTTTACAAAGCTGGTATTTCATTTGTTGACGCTCCCTAAGCGCTTTTCACTGCGCTTGCAGTGAAACTGAATGTTTCAATGATTTTATGTTCATTAAAAACAGCACATGGATTTGAACAACTTGCTGTAAAATGGTTATTTTGGCACAATTAATTTTGTTTAAATAGCTTTCGTGCTGCTATTGGCCGCGGAGGTCCGCTATTGACCGCGGAGGGCCGCTACTTTACCAAACTGTGATGATGCTGCGGGACACGGCACAAGCATGGATCTATGTTGGCTCCCGCTGGCGCTTCGAGCTACGCCGCTTTGACACGATGGCCAAAAGGTGAACGCTTAAACTGGGATTAATGCGTGTGTTATTTACCTCTGCTGGGCGCTGTGACAACAATACAGGAGGACAGAAACCGGTGTGAATGCTGTGCTGCTGTTTGCCTGTTTCCAGTTGGTGTCCCATAGTGCTAGGCTTAATGCTAGGCTAATGCTGCTGAATGCCGGTTTGTTTTTGGTGTTTCTGTGGCTGCCTTTTTGAGGTCATAATGACCTATCTCAATATGCCGGTAACACAGCTCACGGCTGGTGCTCTGTGTACTGGGTGCAGCTCTGACTGCCACCCCCCTGACCTACGAAATGGATTAAGGGGAAGAAAATGGATGGATGGATGGATCGAGAGCATATTCCATCCATCCAATTATGTCTTTTTAACATAATTAATGAAAAACAACACAAAGTGCAACTTAAAAAGGCACTTTGAGGTCATTTACCCTCATATATTATCACCTTCCTGATTCTCCCAAGGAGGCGCTCCATTCTGGGCCCAGTCCAGCCTCATTTACTGCATTCATTTAATTTTTGGCATTATCAGTTGTGACTGGGATATTAGTACTAGGCCTGTTATCGTAACATAGTTCTTCGTTCCGCTCATGGATCTATTATAGGTTCCGCGGGACGTCCAAGTGTCAGTCGTTAACGCAACTGTCGATGTGCGGGAGAGTTAACTTTAGCCCGGTCTGACTGAGCATTAAGAGCTGCTTAAATGCCGCTCAAATAAGCGGTCTTTTTTTCACTGTTGTGCCACAGTATTTACACACCGTGACAGTTTTGTCGACTATTTTATTATCAGTAGAGTTACAGTGAAGCCAAAATGCTCTCATACCAGGGATTTAAATGACGCGGGGCTTTCAAGCTCCTCCGTTCCTCTGCTCGCCATGATTATGCTGTGTGTGGACTGAACAACATGCGCACAACTTTTTTTTCATAAATCAAACCGCGGATCACGTCTGTACCGAACCGAAGACGTTGATCCGAACGGATCACGGATCAGTGATGAACCGTTGCACCTCTATATTGGATCAAAAAAATATATATACTAGTAGACTAGTATGGGTGATAAAAATAATATGCACACTATCAATTACTACTATATCAATCCACTTGAGGAGAAATGGTTGTTTATGTCAATTGATGCATACAATTTTATAAAACATCATTATTTGTCAATTAATGTGATGACACTTACTTTTAGCAGTCGCTTTTGGGACTCTTTTTGATCTTTTCAAAACTGGAATGGATAACGGTTCAGTTAGAATTTTAATAAACATTTCAAGTCATTGTATGAATGCAATATACATACTAAAAGTGGGACATAAAAACTACCTGTGGTGTCTTTGCTGGCTGGTGGGGGGGGCATGGACTCGGGTGGAGATGACGCACTAGCTCTGGAGGGCGGAGGAGATGAGCACTAGCTCTCTGGAGGGCGGAGAGGACGCTCGAGCTCTGGAGGGCGGAGAGGACGCTCGAGCTCTGGAGGGCGGAGAGGACGCTCGAGCTCTGGAGGGCGGAGAGAGACGCTCGAGCTCTGGAGGGCGGAGAGGACGCTCGAGCTCTGGAGGGCGGAGAGGACGCTCGAGCTCTGGAGGGCGGAGAGGACGCTCGAGCTCTGGAGGGCGGAGAGGACGCTCGAGCTCTGGAGGGCGGAGAGGACGCTCGAGCTCTGGAGGGCGGAGAGGACGCTCGAGCTCTGGAGGGCGGAGAGGACGCTCGAGCTCTGGAGGGCGGAGAGGACGCTCGAGCTCTGGAGGGCGGAGAGGACGCTCGAGCTCTGGAGGGCGGAGAGGACACTGTCGCACTGGAGGGCGGAGAGGACACTGTCGCACTGGAGGGCAGAGAGGACACTGTCGCACTGGAGGGCAGAGAGGACACTGTCGCACTGGAGGGCAGAGAGGACACTGTCGCACTGGAGGCAGAAGGACACTGTCGCACTGGAGGGCAGAGAGGACACTGTCGCACTGAGGGGAGAGGACACTGTCGCACTGGAGGCGAGAGGACACTGTCGCACTGGAGGGCAGAGAGACACTGTCGCAGGAGGCGAGAGGACACTGTCGCACTGGAGGGCGGAGAGGACACTGTCGCACTGGAGGGCGAGAGGACACTGTCGCACTGGAGGGCAGAGAGGACACTGTCGCACTGGAGGGGAGAGGACACTGTCGCACTGGAGGGAGAGAGGGACACTGTCGCACTGGAGGGCAGAGAGGACACTGTCGCACTGGAGGGCAGAGAGGACACTGTCGCACTGGAGGGCAGAGAGGACACTGTCGCACTGGAGGCAGAGGGACATGGAGGGAGAGGACACTGTCGCACTGGAGGGCAGAGAGGACACTGTCGCACTGGAGGGCGGAGAGGACACTGTCGCACTGGAGGGCGGAGAGGACACTGTCGCACTGGAGGGCGGAGAGGACACTGTCGCACTGGAGGGCGGAGAGGACACTGTCGCACTGGAGGGCGGAGAGGACACTGTCGCACTGGAGGGCGGAGAGGACACATAGACTGTATCTCTAGAGGGGGGTGGACTGCTGTTCCAATCTAGACAAACACAAAAAAAATACTATGTTTTTTTTCGCATATGTACTCCATCACTGCCGCTACTTAAATGTCTGGAGTTGAAAAGGGATACCAAATTTATCAAAACGGAAGTTTTGCAGACCAAGATTCTCAAAACTACAATGCTGTAGCAGTAAAAGGCTGAAGAAAAGCAAAACTGAAAAATGTAAGTAAGAACAGGCAGAATGGATGTGACCTTCATCTGTCTTTCACTGTGATTACACTCACGGTTAATAATATTTGAGGTTAAAACATTTTTTATCATTCTTTATATCAAACTCTGCTATAAATACACATCTGTAAATAAATTATTTTATTAATGTAAAATTTGGGTCACATGAAAATTGAAAGAGGAAACAAAAAAGCCCTGATGAAGTCTACTTTTGTGCAAAGCATATCTTCTATGTTTATTTCAATACAATTTATGTATTAGTTTTAAAGTTGGCATAAAAAAAGTAACTTACTGTCAATTACAACGCCAAACAGGGCTTTTATTCGGTCCAGGCATTTTGTTGCTGGTTCACCCAGGCTCCACATTGGGTGTATCAGTGAATTCTTCCACCCATTTTTTTGTGGCTTTGCCAAAAGTAGAAGTGCCCTATAGCCTAGGGCGTTGAGTTTCTCCACCTGAGACAAACAATGCAAGTTATTATTTAATTCTGCAGCAATGATTATTCTTGTCTACTAGATGCCCGTGTTTAACTAGTCTTGAGTTCAGAGGCTTCGACACATTTGTTATTGTCACTAATACATTTGTAATGGTGCACATTACACATTTCTAATCATACATATTTCAGTGAATTATTTTTTAAATAAACACATTGCTGTTTCTCTGATGCAACATTGACAGTTTTACACAGTTCCCAATGTGAGATGTACTGCATTTGTGTTTAGTTATTTTTTCTGATAAAATGTTTAAGATCCTTTATCTTAAACATTTATCAAAATTAGTGTAACAACATTAACTTACGATTAGGGATGCTTCATCCACAACGTGTGTTGCTGAATAGTTCTTTTTTTGTTGAAGTATCCATTTTTCTTTCTTTTTTTCAAATATGTCCAATTTTTTTTTCAACCTCACTTTCCTAGGTTGCAATGCCTGGCAGATTTTGCATTTTTTAGTCGCAACGTGGATCTGGCTTGAGCAGCCTGTACATGTAGTTTTAGTCGACCCCGTTGACATGTCGACTCTGAAAACATAATAAAAAGGTCATCTGTGAATCATTAAAAGTTAGGCATCAAAGCTCACAAACACATGAATCCATGAAACTCCCAGCAAACCTTATCTATATGTGTATTATATTGATCCATCCTACAGCTCTTATACGGTTTCAGGGTTCCACGTTCTGTCTGTTTAGCATACAATTAGCATGCCCTATGCTGGTATGCTAATTGCGGGGAACCTCTGATCATACTTTCACCTGCGAATTTTGTCAGCATCTCCGACACGATATCTATGTCTAACAACATAAAAGCATGGTGGAAAAGCGTATTCCGATTTTACAGTAACATTTAACTCTGGATATGAAAATACATCGTGCTTACCGCGTGCGTGGGACGTATCTTCAGCTGAGAAAAATGACGGAGCTCATACTTCCGGGTACACCTGGATAGTTTCCTGTTGATTATGTTCCACGGGAAGGACCGGGTTATACGCCAAAATATTCAGGCACATTTATTAACAGTGATTTCTTAGATGCATGCATTGTTTTATTATATACATGGTGTTTTCTGAGATTTACCAAAGTCTGAAATGACACCGTGCACTGCGTGGTGACTAACATGCATGCGCTCATAAATGCATACACGCACACATTTCAAAACGCACGCGCATGCATTCGCGTACTAATGGTACAGACAGCTAAACACGCACTGGGCTCACGATTCTACAGGCAAGAGAATTATGAATGATATAAATCTTGATTTCGGGTTCAAAGGATGAAGAAAATAAAACTTGACTGTTGTTCATTCTACAACTACAAAAACTACCATAGCCGTCATTTTGGCTCCATTCCAACCAATGGAATTATAAGAAATTCCACCAACATATTTTAAGCAAATTGTTTTTCAATAGATTTATTATAAGGTATTTACATTTATTATAACTTTACATTTATTATAACTTTCCCGCTTACAGTTAGTCCAGAACTCCGCGGCACGGATTTTAACAGCTTCTTTGCACTAGCTTCCTGTTAATTTTAGAATTGATTTTAAGATTTTATTGTTTGTTTTGAAAACTTTGAACGGACTGGCCCCTCCTTACATCTCGGACCTCATCCAAATTTATCACCCACCCCGCACGCTGAGGTCCGAGAGGACCGTTACCATGACAATTGGTCCGCAGCGCATCACATTTGATATCTTTCCTCAGTAAAAAAAAAAGAAATAATGGGCGACGACTGGGAGCATTCTCTCAGTGAATTCTATTATCCGGACGAGTTTGAAGAACCAGAGGAATTACAGAAAATAACGACAAAAAAAATAACTAACAGTCAAGAAGAGATTGACAACTTTGTTGCAGACCAGAAAGCTAAAAACACAATAAGGAAAACCAAGTCGGATGTGAACATACTTCACAAATATCTAAAAAGCATTGGTAAAGACACAGAGGAGAGTCATATAATAAAACATTTATTAACCTTGCTTGCTCGGTTAATAAGCCGTTATTACTAGACTATAAGTGCTGGTGAACATAATTGGAAATACTGTAGAGATTTCATAACACTTTGAAACAACTGTAGTTAAAGTTAAACTCATCATTCTAATATGCACGAGACAGTCACAGTACTTTTCCACTTGATGTTTTGGTATCTCAAGGTTGTAGCTACAGGCATCGCGGCGAAAGCTGATTGGACGGTGTTCATTCAACACACTTGCATTTTCTTACATCCTTGTTCGTGTGCTTGAGTTTGTGCTGGCTCTACCATCAATAAAACATGTCTTCTGTCTGAATTAAAGACATGATCCCAGACTTTGGCTGATTTCCAACAATACAACAAAGGTCATATGATAATTGTTACAGTACAGTTGCTATGTTATCTAGTACTGCCTCTTTTTTTGTAGGAATACATGGTAAAACTATACTCGCATTTCAAAAACAAGGACATTGAACTACTGGACTGGACTCATAACACAGACGCCCGCTTCAAGAAGGGCCAGAGTCGCCTCTACCTACTGAGGAGGCTTAGGTCTTTTGGAGTGCGGGGGCCACTCCTGAAGACCTTCTATGACTCTGTGGTGGCATCAGCCTCTTGTACGGTGTGGTCTGCTGGAACAGCAGCATCACAGAGAGGGACAGAAAGAAGCTGGACAAGGTCATCAGGAAGTCCAGCTCAGTCCTGGGCTGTTCCCTGGACACAGTGCAGCAGGTGGGGGCAGGAGGGTCCTGAGCAAACTAACATCTATGCTGGACTATGATTGTCACCCCCTGCAGGACACTCTCTCTGCTCTGGAGAGCAGCTTCAGTGACAGACTAATTCACCCTCGCTGTGTGAAGGAGAGGTTCCGTAGGTCTTTCCTTTCTGCTGCTGTCAGACTGTACAATAAGAACTGCTGAGCCTGTACATTTCATTAATCTGTAATTAAGTAAATTCTTAAATCATGTGCAATGTGCAACTTCAGAATGTCACAGAACAATGTCACTTTACCTCATGTCACTTTACTTATATACTTTTTATCCTGCACTATTTAACTGTACAGTATATAACTGCACTACTACATATATATTTTTTGACTGGTATTGAAGGATTTTCAGCATCTACAGCTAGTTATGTTAGTTAAGAAACATAGCTACTTATTTGTATATAGTGTATATATTGTGTGTGATCCCTGTGTGCTCTTACTACTGTCCTATACTGTATATGCGATGCAACATCAAAATTTTCCCACTGTGGGACGAATAAAGGAATTCTTATCTTCTTATCTTATCTCATCTTGAAAGAATCTTTATAGAAACAGAAAAAGACACAAAGTTCTGAAGACCAAAGTCTAGAGTAATTTCTCTTCCAAAACTAAAAGACATTCCTCAAGACAACACATATGCCTCAGCCTGGTGAAGGGCCCTGTTCTGTGGAAAATCCCCTTTTGGGAACCGCATTGACCTTCAACCTGATGAAGACCTTAGGGCAGCTCATCCTCATCCACCTTCGCTCTGAGATCAGCCCCACCCTGAACACATTAGTCCGGTCTTCAGGTCTCTGCACTGGCTTCCTGTGGCTCAGAGGATAGACTTTAAAACAGCTCTGCTTGTGTACAAGTCTCTCCATGGCCTCGCACCAAAATATATTAGTGACATGTTAGTACCATACGAACCAGCCCGGACTCTGAGGAGCCCAGGGACTGGACTCCTGTTAGTGCCCAGAGTCAGAACTAAACATGGGGAGGCTGCTTTTCAGATTCATGCTGCTAAAATCTGGAATAATCTCCTTGAAGATGTGAGACAGGCAGGAGGCCTGTCTCACATTGTCTCTCTGACAATGTTTAAAACCAGGTTAAAAACGGTGCTGTTTAGCTGTGCATACAACTGAGGGATTTTATATTTTTATCTTCCTTTTTAATGTTCTGTGATTATTTATGATTTTAATGCTTTCTTGTTTTGTTCAGTACTTTGAGTTGCCTTGTGTAGGATTTGTGCTATACAAATACACTTGCCTTGCCTTGCCTAGATTCTCCATTGTGAGATCAATCTTATTTCTTGACAAATATTCAACACATACTCACAATGTTAATTTTTCATCATATGAGGCGGAATTGGTTTTCAAAAAATGGGAGTAGAGAAAAATTACATTTAAATTATGAGAAGTCTCAAAAACGTTATTTATCTATTCAACATCTGATTGTTCAAGGAGTGTTTATTTCATAATTGTAATGCATGTATTCGTTAATAGGTTGGAACTGTGTTTTTAATATATACTATTTAAAACTACAATTTTAGCCACTGTGAC